TGTGATAGATAGTGAGTAGCGTAGCAGTGTGCCCTTGTTAACAAAATGAGGGCCGCTTCTTGGCGTTTTCGAAGTGTCTGTGAAGAGGATTTAGATAATGTTTTGAACGACTAGTAGATTTATACTCAAACGATTAGATTATTCGTCTTGATTTTTATGCGTGATAGTTGACTCGGGCTGCGCCTACGTCAATTATCACGCGAGCTCATAATCTAATTTTTTAATAGCTGACGAGGGGCGAAGCCGCGAGAGCACCAACTACCAAAGTCCACAGAAAAAGTCAAATTATCTTATTGTCCTAGCATAACCAAAATGACACCGATCTATCAAACAACAACAAGAAGCTACTTTTATTTCAGAGTTTCATTAAAATACTATGTTGAATCAAAGAGTTACAAAATCCTGCGCCTACCGTGAAGCCGATCAGATTGCGCGTCAAGTTGCACTCTCTAGAAAAGACGTCAAAAGAAGTCTTCTTGTCGGGAGTGAGACGGCTGATATTCAGGCAAACAAGTTGTAGTTTTTCTTTTCTCATGTGAGTGTTCATTAACCTTACTCATCCTAGGTGAAGTGGGACAGTTGAAGAAACATTATGAGGGATTTCACAACTGGTTCCAGTTCTACCGTTTACAGACGACCACAAATGAATTAACCAATGTCGAGGTGGCTTCAGTGACGTATGACACAGAGGTTAGTTATTATCACGATAACTTTTCTCTCATAAAATGTCTGACTCGCCTGCTGACTCGACAAGCGAGACCTTATATTAGATCTGACAACGCCTCCGATGACCACTCTGAGAGTTTCCACCCCGGGGTAGGGGTTACTCTCTTATATGTCCTATATAGGTATCTGCAGCCGTAAATGTTATCTTTTTTTGAGCTGTTTTGGTCTGAAATAGGGTTTGCCTCTCGTCCTGTCTCTGAACTGGGTATTTTGTTTAGAAGAAACTATTTTTTCCGCACCAATATTGGCAATATTAATTAATTATCGGAGTCGAAAAACGAAGGGAACTAAGGACGTTAGAAGTAGGGCAGTAGAGAAACATTTCGCCTTCCCCTTACCGTCACCCGTCAATCAACTGAGAGTGCTTTTATCCATTCAACCCAAACCTCCTCGATTTACCGAATCCCTGCAGTTTAGCTTCATTCACGTTACTTCATTCATGGTATTATTCGGGAAATTTCTTTTCTTTAATTAACAGATCCTTGAGACAACCGAGAGAAAAAAAAAAGAGCTACATGATTTATTCACTACATTTACTCTACCTTTTGTTCTGTAGCCTACTTTTATGCAGGGCCTGGATTTCACTTGGGACGTCGCTAAGAAAAGGGGCGGTGGCAGCAGCTTGTTTGTTGGAACAAGCCCAGCGTTTGATTTTGCCATTTTCAGTGTCTGTGCTCTTTCCATATTTAAACCACCAAACCAACTGACAGAATGCTCTTGTCAAATTCACAAAACCATCTTAAGAATTACAGCGAAGGAAATTTCTGTCAAAGAGAAAAAGGTTATGACTCCAAAAGGCAAGGTTAACACAGCCTACCCATCGGCTGTTATCGGTAAGTTGAACATTGCACAAGCTCGCAATTCAAATGTCGTATTGTGTACTTGCATTATTGTTATTTGACTACATGTCCTAGGTTCCCAGAGATCAAAGTAAATACTGAATATGTATTAGAAGCTTTAATGCATTTTTTGCTATATGGTAGATTCTTACAGTTGATATGACGGATCGATTGATTTTAGCCAAACAAGTGCCATTAGGCAACCAGGAATAATGTTTGGCTAAACCTTGGGCCTACAAGCAAATGCAGAAGCGTTATGCAAGAGTAATGATTAAAGCCGGCTCACGCCAATCCTCAGTGGACCTTTACAATAAGTTCGTCTGACTTCTTTGTTCAGATTAAAGCTGACAATAAGAGGTGTGTACTTTGCCTTTTGTGGCACAATGAACAGCACACGCGCAATCGGACTACTTCGACGACGTCTCGATTTACCGATTTTTCCTTGCAAGTAAAATATCACTTAAACTTCACCTTCACACTTAGTGCTTTTAAGAAATGTCAGAGAAATAGCCTGTTTTTAATTTTCAACGTAAAAATAATGCTTTAATAGGTTCTTTTTCGAGACGCATCTTGTTTCAGTCACCATTGCATCAAACGTCGGATTCAAGCAAATTAGAATCACGTTTCGCGTCCCAACGAAATGTAACAAAACGAAGCTTTTATCCAACGTTATTGGGCTCTACTCTTCGTAAGATGACTCAATAAACATCATTTAACAAATAAGAGAGATTTTAAACGTATAAATGGCGATGAAAAGAGTATTTAGTCCCATTTGAACAAGATGTGTTCATATCGAGAACTCATGCGAAGGGAGACGTTACCTTCTGACACACTTTCTTCCCCAAAACCATCTTCAGGATCTCTGAAATCATTTTAAATTGCTTCTCGTGTCTCCGCCGTTTTGAAGCGGATTTACTTGGTCGCTCAAAAATCGTCATTTACACCAAACTCAAGTATCTTGGCTCAAAATCGCTCAGTAACCGGGAAAATCTGTTATCATCGTGTACTCCAAGTATGAAGAAATCAGAAGAAATGTAATGTTTTTTTTTTCTTTTTTTTTTTTTTTGCATAATTTTGTTAGTGCTATTAGCACTGGTGGGCCTGCAACTTCAAAGCGCTCCGGAAATGGAGCGCGACGTTAAGCGACGTTACGCAACGTCAAGGGGCGTGATATTGACTGATAACTGAATATTCCATAGTTTTTTCTCACAAGCCCCATAACGTGAGAAATTAAATAGTTGTCGAGTTTTTGGTCTAAGCTCTTTTTTCCTTTGTTCAAATATTGCGTGCAGCCATCTTATTTTTCTTTCCCCTTATTCGATCACTCCACCAGTATGAGACCCAGTTGTTTTTTTGTGTTGTTTGAGGGACCACAAGTTTTGCCAAAAAAAACGTCTTCGGGTTAAAATTCAATGACCTATTTTCCCCATGAGACACGCATGCAGAGAATCATGGAAATTATATTCATCAAAACAAATATTCAGTCCAAGATGACGAATACAACAATGCAACCACGATTCGCTGCAGGCTCGTGTCATGAAGGGAATTGGTCATTATTCTTTCATCAGTCACTCTTCGACTCGCAGGTTTTCAGGAACACTAAACTCTTGTTAGAGAACTTCTAAATATTTTTAATTAAGATCAGCCTGACAGATAGGAAAATCAAGACATCCGTGATTGCTGCATGCCTTCCATGTCTTCAACGCCTTCTTGTTAAGTGAAGAAGTTTGAAACTCTAAATATCGGTCTTTGAAATTCAGCACTATTACATAATTGAAACGGAGGATGACCATGCAAGTTCTTTACACGTCCTTTAAATTTATGACATGCAATTTCTGTCGAACATAGCTGATCCAATGTGCACAAGCGTTGATCCCAACACGAGAACAAATTGTGGAACGGCTGGGATAGACGAACACACCTGTGGAGAAAGAGGCTGCTGCTTTGACTGGCAGCAATACACTGCCCAAACCCATATGTGTTTTTATCCTGCAAGTAAGTCAAATGCCACCAAATTATGCAGATAAATTGGATAAAAAAAGATTCTACAGTACAAGATAGACTGCACAATTATTTGGAAGAAACACATAAGTTGTTGAAAGAAACACAGGAAAACAGGGTTTAAAGTAGATATGATCAGAATTACCATAGTGATTAACCCAATCTAGCATGGACTTTTTTCTTCTTTCTCTTTTGTACACAGAGGTCTGAACTCAATGAGTTAGATAGCACCTTAAGAATTCACGGTCTTACTGGGTTGAACAAAAATCAGTTTTATGTAACCGTTAATTTGATCATAGCTAATTTGTAACATACAATTTCCTAAAATAATAAACGGTTAAGACTTTTTTACGTAAGCTGTTCTCTAATTTTTTTTGTAATAGACCACGAATGTCATGTCGCCCCTCCCCACACTAAAGTAGATTGCGGTTCTCCACCTGGAATAACCAGGATTCAGTGCGAACAAGAAAAGAACTGTTGTTTTGACGAAAGCCCTGCCCAAGGTGCTCCTAAATGCTATCAAAAAGTTCCAAGTAAGAGTATCCTAAATTGCATTTAATTTATCATTGTAAGAACTTAGCGGACTCGAACAGAACCTTAAAGTGGTACTATGATCAAATTTTTCCCCCTTGATTTTTGGGTGTATCACATTAAATTCCATGAAAGAATAAAAACGCCGTTCACTTTTTGCAAATATCTGCATTAGTTCCGGAGATATTTAAGTTTGAAATAATGTGTAAAACATGCAAATNGAGATGACTGATGACGTCATACACTCAACCCAATTTTATATCAAGTATATAAATAGAGCTATCTTGGTCAATTTGCAGCGCAGACCATTGAAACTTGGTGGCTAGTAGTTCTACAGGAAACACACGTACGGCTATAAAAAATTCTGTTCCCATGGCAACTCACTCTTTTCCAGTCCCCACTCACTTGATTTCAATATGTTAGTGAGTTTCAGCTTGTAAAACATTAAACGAGGCCACAAACTTGAGCTAACATATTTATATGCTTGCTAGATCAAGCATATGAGGCACCATTTGCAAATGTCAGAATGGAAAGCCAAAGGTGGCCAGAAATGCCTTTAATATTGGGGAGGTCTGGAGCCCATATATTGCCATGGTAACCAAACTGTTAAGCTCATGTTGTGGAGCATATTTAGTAGAATCTTACTGTAAAGAATCAAACATTTCCGATACAAATTGGCTGAGATATCTTTTTTCATCATATTTGATCAAAATTTGGTTGAGCGTATGACGTCATCATTAGGCTAATTTGCATATTTTAAGAACTTGAATATCTCTGGAACGAAACGAGATATTTGAATATAGTAAACAGCACTTTTCTTCTCACACAGGCTACTTGTTTATGTTTTAAAATGGTTGTGATAGGAAAGATGCGATTTTCCTCATAGTACCACTTTAACTAGTTGTCCTTGATACACTTAACATGGAAAATGTTTTACTATAGCAAAAGCTCTACTTGATTTTAAAATTACTATTACACTGAATAGCTTTTTACATGTAGAAGAATAGCAACAGAAGTTAGTGAGCATCCTGCAAGCTGTACTGGAAATCTACGAGTGTGAATGGTTTCCCCCTATTGTTGTTCATTCACTAATAGAAGACGAAGCGCCCGTTACTCTTGAATGGGAAAATTATTCTCTATTTTTAGTTTGAAATTAGACAAAGCTGTTAGTTTTGATCGGTAGTCTCTGTTATGGTGCCTGCCAAAATAGTTAGTCGTCGGCTATTCAATCGAATTTGTAGTCCAGTTGTCAAATAAACGCATCGACAAGTTGCTACAATGGCACATCTTATTTTGCCAACGCACA